AAATATCAGCTGATGATTCTCTATATCTTCAGTATATTTTATCATTGCTCGTCGTCGGTATAGCGAGTTGTGGGGCACAGCTAACTGTCAGTTCATGGTTGGCTTCTCATTGAAATTGGTACATAACATACTTCGTGGACTAACTAAGGTTTGCATCAAGATTCTGTTATCTTACTACTGTGAATCGAATTATTTGCATATATTTTTTGTTTTTTAAGATTCAAATATCATTTAGCATTGATTGATATAATTAAATTTTCTAATGATTTTCAATCGTCTATCAAGTTAGATAATTAGAAGATAATTAAAAAATAATTAGAAATAAGATTGTATTAAATAAATTGTAATGGATAATACAAATATAAAAGTGAAAAAAAGTATTTTATAATAAAAACAGAGTTAAAAATAATAAAAAATAAATAATAGAATATATAATATATATAATATGTAATGTATAATATTATGTATAATATTATGTATAAAACAAAAAATTTTTTTCAAGCAAATAAAAATAACTGACTTGTATATATACTATACTATATAACTGAAGTATAAATAAATAATATGACAAAGTGAATATATAAACAACTTTTTAATAAAATAATTCTCTTGAATTGAGTTTTTTTTGAAAGTGTTATATTGAAAGTAGATAAATAACAAGTTTATAAGTAAATTGAAAATAATAATTTTTTAAGATAATTGATAAACATATCTCATATAAAATAAAGTAATTAAAAATAATGAAAAATATAAAATTAAATAATATATAATAAATAATAAAATAGATATTTTAAAGTTTTTATATTGAAGTTATGTTAAAACAATATTTTAAAGTTCTTATATAATTGCATGATTCAACATTTAATTTAATCAGAAAATTAAATTGAAAATATTAATGAATGGTAAGTTATTCAAAGAATTAAATATAATTTTGCAGAATTCACAAGGATAAATCATATCAACTTCAATCATATCATATGTATATATTATAATATATATATATATATATAATTTCGTGAATACAATAAAATGAAAATAAAAAATAAAGATGATCAATTCACAGAAAATTTAATTTTTTTTTAGACATATTTTGTATAATATAAATTGAAGAATTTTTAATTAGTCTTAGTTGAAATTTTAACTTCGATATTTTATTAAAAAAAAGATATTAATTATATTAATTATATTAAATAAAAGTTTTATGTTTAATTTTATATTGTTATATTAATATTATATATAAGTGAAAAGAAATCATGTTATATAGATTATAAATAATTCTTTTTTCTTCATAAATAATCTTCGTATAAATAATATTACGTTCTTTTTTGTAAATAGTTTTTCATTTAAAAAAAAATTTGAAATTTATATTTTGATATACCTAATTAATATGTAATATTTTTAATATTTTTTTCAAAAAAAATTGTTTATGATTTTTTTCTTTGAAATTTATTGTTATATGTATAGTTGTTTATTTTGTTCCTATTCTTTGGACTTTATATTTTTTTTAGAAAACTAGAAATTAAATTAAAAATAACTAAAAAAGTTGAAACCAAAGAAATCTACAGTATTTTTTCTACGTATAATATATTTATAAATTTTTATTTAATGTTTTATAATAATGTTTTTTAATAATGTTTTTTAATATTAAACATATTTATATAAACATATTTTTGTTTCATAAATATAATGCATATTTTGTTCTAGCAATTACATTTGACGCATGTATATATTACGTGTATCTTCATTATCCAAGTAATTTCAATAATAAAAACTTCTCTTCTACTTATTATTCTTCTTCTCTTACTTCTACTTATTATTCTTCTATTATTTTATATTAAAAAATTGTTAATGTAATCATATATAACTTAATTTGTAAATAAATTGTACTCATTATGTAGAATCAATATAGAATCATAATTATAAATTGAAAAAATTAATCGAAATCGCTTATTCTTGCAATTATTATTATGGTAACAATTTTAAAATAAAAAATCTGCACTTCTATCCAATATATATGTAATTTAATTTAATCATTTCTTATTTAAATTATTGATATATAATTGATTCTTTAAAAGCAAATAAATAATTCTATACATACATTAATTATAAAATTGTGTTTAAATAACTAAAAAATATTCAATTTAATTTGAATATTATTTGTAATTTGAATATTAAAAAATTGTTCATGTAATTATATATAACTTAATTTTTAAATAAACTAATAAATTGTAATCATTATGTAGAATCAATATAGAATCATAATTATAAATTGAAAAAATTAATCGAAATCGCTTTTTTTATATCTTTGTTACATAAGTATATATAAACATAAATTAAAATCTAAATAATATTTAGTAATAAACAATTTTTTATTTTTTGATAATTATTTAAATAAAATTATTTGAATTGTTTTTAATAAAATAATATAATTATATTAATATTTGTAATTTTAAAATTATAGAAAAGTTTCATAATGTATTTATTTTTCTTCATAATTATATTAAAATTAGAAACATTAATATAATTATATTATATTATAATTATTATTTAAATATACAAAAAGTACATTATGAAATTTTTTTATAATTTTTGTAATAAAAAATAAAAATATGATAATATAAAAGAATCAATTTAATTGCCTGAATCTAACCTATATATTATAAATGTCAATTATACATTAATATTAGCAAATTTAACAGGAAAATAATTTTTTTTAAAGTATTTATATAATTATGTTATATGAATATTTTATTATATAATTAATTTTTCTTTTTTAGAATTTTAACAAAATGACCTACACGCTAAATCAATTGCTCCACACTTCATCGTGCCTGATGTATGTGGTTACGTTATATATAGCATTTACACTTCATATACCAACGCTTAATATTCGATTTACTAAATTCGATCCCGGACAATTGAAATACTTGACTATATGGGATGTGGTAAGTTATATATTTTTATTATTATCAAATTTACAATTTTTAAAACCATTTATTTTATTATATATACTTAAATATTTTATTACTCATACTACTTCGCTGTTTAATATAATTTTTAATAAATATAGATAAACATAACTAATTATAAATAATGAAAATGAATTGTATATCATAAAAAATAATTATAATAAAAAATTTTTAAATTATTAACTAATTAGATAACATCATATATTTATTGTAAATTAAATAAGATAGTTAAATATAAATTTTTAATAATATTTGAAAATATATTTTAATTATACTTGAAATATAAATTATTATATTAAAAAAATTAATTAATATTAAAAAATTAAGGAATATTTTCAAATATTTTATATTTAATAGAATAGAAATTGATTTATTTTTTTTTTTACAAATATTTATATATTTTAACAATAAGAATAAAATTTAAAAAATAATTTTTAAATAAAGTTTTTTATCTTTAACTATGTAAATATAGACTTATAAATGCTCATATAGAAGAAATATAATGTATTATTTATTTCACAAACGTTAATAGATGGCGCCATGTAGACTAAATATTGTAATATACTATACTTTTACTCATATACTAATTCATTGATAGTATCATGTAAGATAATATATCTTCATGTTTAAATAACAATGTTTCCATAATATCCATTGTTTTCAAAACATACTTCTTTTAAAACAAGATAATAAAACTTATTAAATATAAATGAAAAATAATAGTATAAAAATTAATGTTAATTATATGTCAATTATATGTCATTTTTTATTAAGAAAATTAACACAAAGAAATTACCTTTCCTTATTTTAAAGAAACATTTTTAATCAATATTATAATAAATAAATAAAGTAATTTCTCATATAAATTGATTATTACTTTCTAAAACTTTTTTTAAAAATTTATAATATTATTATCTTATCTATTTAATTACTGAATATATTTAAATTATATTCAAATCTACTTAAAATTCTATGATAAAAATAAACATTTGTATATTTTAAAAAAATTTTTTATCTGATAAATTTTAAATTTTTTGTAAGAAGTAAAAATTTTTTTTTATATTTTCAAATATTTTATATTATATATTTTTATCGTATATATATTTAATATAAATATATATTAGCATTAAAAAATTATTTATAATATAATATTAACCAATGTAAGTCTAATATATATATATATTTATTGATCAATATTATATTATAATTTTTTAATGTTATATATATAAATATATAGTAAGTATAATATAACAGGAAGTGAAAAATTGCATAATATGTTACAATAATTGTTTCTCTTTAATTTTGGTTTAATCTTTTATTGTCAAGTATATACAAGTCAAGTATATACATCTCAATGATATGATTTTGCATTTTTGATTAAAAAATGTTAATCGAAAAAAGTTTCTATTCATTCAAAACAATGATATAAATTATTCATTATAAATATTTATTTATTTTTAAAAGAAATTTATAGATTAAAACAATTTTTTTTATCTATTAAATTCAAGAAAAGAATCAGATACTTGACAATAAATTTGAAAATCTCTGACTGCAAAAACTTATGCCCATTTCGTTCGTGCAGAATCTTATCTTATTTTCATCTTTTATTATACTTTCTCTATTTTATATATACTTTGATTTTTCTTATTTATTAAATCTTAATTATATTTCTCGTTATCTATCTTTTATTTATTTATCTTTCAAAGTCAATGCAAAGTCAATTGAGAAAAATAGAAAGGTTAAAAATATAGATATCACTTGCTAAACATAGACAAGTTTAATAACATTAGCTATTGTTACAAGTACAAAGTATAGTAACAATATATGAGAATGCAAATAGTTACAAATTTCTTTTTTCTGTTTTACTTGTTTTATATTTATCATATATATTTATCAACGTGTATAATATGTTTAATATTTTTTTTTATATCTTTTTGTTATTTTTATGTATTTCTATGAATTTTTATTTGTACTATCTTATACTTTCCAAACCAAGGAAACGCACATGGTGAATCATTTCTCTCTTTCTCATAGTGTATTTTCACCTATCCGTCAGTACATTGCAGACCGTCGGCACGGTCGATAACTATTAGTGTGGTTTGTACATGTGACCGAAAAAACCGGAGTGACTTGTGTAATCATAAAAAATTTAGCACATATTAAAGAAATATAATAAAACAAAAGGTATCTGTGAAAAATATAAAGACATATTGATAAATAATCAAAATAGTTGAAATTATTTTATTAAAACTATGTAAAACAGAAATTAATTGAGACGCTATAAGATCATAACCATAATATTTCAATAAAATACACGTGTGTTCAGAATTGGAATTAATTCTTTTCATTTAATATAACAATTGAAAATTTAAAATTAGTAATATTAATTAAAATGAATCCTCCTTTTTCTTAAAATTATTATTAATATTCAATGAAAATAAAAATTACACAAGGCTTATATGTGAGAAAATAAATTTTATTAAATTATAATTATTTTTATAATTATTTTTATAATTATCATAAATACTTTACGTAAACTTAATTTACTACTTTATAAATTATGATTTATTAGAAATGATTAAATTATGATTATTACAAATTAAAATATAATAAAAATTTATAGATAAAATCTAATTTATAATATAATACGATTTTTTTAATAATAAAAATATATACACCAAAAAGAATAAATAGATCCTTAAAAATTGGTTTTTATATTATTTTAAATTGTTCTTATATTTTATATATAATATTCTATAATTTTATATTTTATAATTAATTATTATATTGATATTATTTTTATTAAAAACAAATTAAATGAAATTAATTTTTCTAATAATAATAGTTGCAAGAATTTGAGAATTATTGCATGATTTTTGAGAATTATTAAAATTAAAAAATATTTATAAATAACTTTGTATAAACAAATAACATTAAATAAATGTTGTATAAGTAAATTTTATTATTTAAAAATAATAACATAAATAAACTTTATATAAGTTAAGTTTAATTTTTAATAGAATTTTATTAATGAAGCAATGATTTTTGTTTGAAATAAAGTATCAAATAAATTATAAAATTATAAAATAATTATAATAAATTATAATAAATAATTATAATATAATTATAATAAATAGATTTGAGTATATTATTTTTCAATATTAAAAATATTAAATAACAAATATATATGTATATTAAAATCTTCTTCTTGTAATTAAATATTATTAAATTTTATATATGTGTTTATTTTTAATAGAAATACTAATAGAAATATAATTTGCAATGAATTAAAATAATTCAAATTTCAAATAGAAGTTTATTCTATTATTGTATTACTATTATTGTTTATTATTTTTAACAATAATATAAAATAATGTATTATATACTTTTATAATATAATTTTTAGATATTATAAATATATTTAAGTAATTTCAGATTCCTAATATAATTTCTATAAACATTATAATAATAATTTTTTCATATTTTTTTTTTAATTGATTTTGTAAATTTAAGTAAAATGGAAATGCAAATACAATTAATATTTCTTGTTAATATTAAAAAATATATATATTATATTTTTATATATTATATATGTATATTATATTATATACATGTATATGTTTATTATAATATATATATATATATATATATTTATATATTTATATTTATATTTATATTTATATTTATATCTATACCTATAAAAAACAAATATATTATTTATTAATTTCATATAATAAGTGAAAAATTAACATTAGTAAAAAATAAAATGGAAAAAATTTCTTCATGAAAACGGAGGATCGAAAATTTTATACTTCTTGAATCTCTAAATAAATTATTAAAGCGGCCTCATATGAGATGGGAATTTATAGTGAATATATATTGAATATTATATAATAAAAATAAATGTTCTTTTATTAAATTGTTTCTATTCGATTGGTTGAATACGATCGCCATCATGGAAATCTATCAAAACGTTTCAGAACACAAAAATTATATGTAAGGCGCTTAGAAGATGCGAGACGACCTACTTTTTGGATTTCATGTGATCTCTTGTATACAATTTGCATTTGCAGTATATTATGATTATATGTACATTGCAATACCTCCAAATCTTATCAAAATGCACATTAATTTTGGCGGGAAATTCAAGTTTCTTACTTTCTGGGACGCGGTTAGTATCATGAAACAATGATTTATTCTTTTTTTACATATTATGAGGTTATTCACTTAATTAATATTATATAATCACTTACGATTCTGTGAAGATATAAATTTGATTCAATTTGTAAAAATTGACAATAAAATTGACAAAGTTAATAATTATTGATTTTCTGAAAATCATACTAAAATTATAAAATATTAATTTTTAAAAGATGATTATATATATGATTATATATTTATATCTTATTTATCACATATATTATACATAAATATAAAATTTATAAAATGTATTTATAGCAAATATCAATAAATAAATTGATATATAAATTAAACTATTCATAAAACTTGTGTCAAATAGATTAATCGATTTGTAGATTAATTATTCAAATATTTCCTTATCGATGATATTAAAATAAATAATTGCAATACAAAATTGACTTAAAATAAATTATTTTTTCAATAATTTTAATCAATAAATTTGAAAATTAAATGCCATAATCATTTACTGCCATCGGATAATTTTTTATATGAAGATATTCTACATTGATATTACATTATGAACTCGAAGAATAAAATTCAATTGTTCGAGCACCACTCCATATCATCTCGGAAGGCACGTGTCATATTATATTATCCATATATGGTCAAGTGACTATCATATTTATATCATATATTTGACGTATTCGTGCGAAAAAATTATTAATATTTTTTAGTATAATTATTTTACACAATATATTTTCATTCGAAGTCTTTTTTAATTTATATATTTTAATCTATGTATTTTAATCGTTAAGTAATGTATCATATGTTATTATATGCAAATCTGATTAATTGACTTAACACATTCATAAAAATTTATCTTGTTAAATAAAAATTGACATATATTAATAAAATCTCTCTGAAGAAATAAATTATTAAAAATTATACTATGTGCAATAATATAATATAATGTTTAACAAAATATATTATAATTTTCATCCAATGTTAAATATTCATTTTCATTATAATATGACAAAATATACAATTTATTTATTTATTTTTGAAACAATTATATATATCTAATTATAGGTTTAAAGTAAATATTAATATTATCTGAAAATATATAAATAAATTATTTAAAAACTGCTACATGGTTTATATTTATATTTAAAAACCATATATCTGAAAAATCACAATATATTATTTAATCGAAAAAAACGATATACCATTGCAGAGATATTATCCATCTATTTTATTTTCAACATTTCTACTTTTTATTTTCAACTATTCTAATTTCAACATTATCTTAGCGAAGAAATTATTTCTGATTAATTTAATAACTAGATAAAATTGATGATTAGGTATTAAATTTAATGATTAGATATTAGATATTAGATATTACATAAATCATCGTTAAATATTAAAAAATATGTTATATGTAATTTTCAAAATAAAATATTTATAAAATAGAATAATATATTCAAATTTTCTTATTAATTCTGTGAGCGATGATTTAATATAATTTATTTTTTCAGATTATTCAAGCAATATTTTTTTTTATATGTATGTTAAATGATTGGTTTGGTACAAATGCTGTTAGTCCCAAAAAACCACCATTTATACGTAAATTAAAAGATCACATACATGCGATACTTAGTTTTCCAATTGCCATGGTAAGTGAAAGAAAAAAAAATTAAAAAAAAAGTTTAATATTTTATATATTTTACAATTTTCATGGATCATAGTTTGTTGGAGTGACATTCTGGGCTCTAATGTTTGTGGATCGTGAATTGGTGCTTCCAAAAGCTGTAGATCCTTACTTTCCATGGTGGTTAAATCATTTAATGCACACTATGATCATGATTACCATATTAGTAGAAACGATTTTAGTGCCACGTACATATCCAAAGAGATCGAATGGTCTCCTTGGTATAATAATATTCTTATTTATATATTTAGTTTGGTATGTTGAAAATATAGAAATTATAGAAACATATTATTTTAAGCTCTATTTTTTTTATTAATTATTTAATATACTAAGTATTTATTATGTAATGATATTAATTAAGTATGTATTATGTAATGATATTAATTCAAATTTCCAGGATATATATAATTTATTATAAAAGTGGTGTCTGGGTATATCCAGTATTGGAAGTGCTATCATTGCCATTACGAATTGTGTTTTTCAGTGCACTAATTACATTCAGTATAGGCTTGTATTTTATCGGCGAAAAAGTGGACAACTTGTTTTGGGGTAACGAATATATTAAACATGAAAAATCTTATGCCAAAAAAAAATAACTTTGCCCATGGGTGATAAGGTGTGCTGATTTCGATTATATATAATTAGCCTTCTCTAAGGTGATGGTGAATAAAACAAAAATTAATTTCTTTTCTCCCATCATTTCCCATTTACCTTATATTACGGCATGCATACATAACACGCTATTAAATAAATTTTAATTAAAAAAAATATAATAATATAGTGTGCATGTACAAAGAGAATTGCATTTATTATTTTTCAAAAGCAAAAAGCACGAAAAAAACACGATCGTTAATAATTTGATTACTGAAGAGAGTGATATAACTGAAGCATGTATAAGTACATAGATGTGATTTTTTTTCTATATGTCATATATGATGAAAGAAAAAGGGCAAACTAATTGTACACTATACACATTTTGGTCTCTGATATTCATGATACAAATTAAAAACTGGAAAAAAATGAAAAATGAAAAAACACGAATACATATGTATACACAATGCAATTATTACATTTTTGTATCTTCAACAAATTATGTTATGTTCTGACAACAAAGAAAACACTGATGGCTCTATTTGTATCGAGTATAGGAAAAAAATACATAGCAGAAGCTATCGGACCGGATTTCAAAGCATAATGAAGTTCATGTTGGAGAATCGAGCAAGAGGAAAATACTTTTGTGAAACTGATTAAACCGAAAAATGATGAATATACATATATGTTCATGATTTGATGTCGTCATAGGATCTCATACTAAAAAGAAGTGATTGAAAATTCCATATTCACACTACGAAATTGAGTTGCAATATTTTTTATTTCACAAATAAAAATAACATAGATTCTAAATATAATACAAGACATATATACATTTTGTTAATATTTTCTGTTATGCTTTTAGATTAGAGATGAATTAAAAATAAAAATAAAATATTATTTTTAATAAATATTTAAAAGTTTTGTTTTAATTGATATTTTCTGGAATTTAGATTAGAATATCGAAAAATTTAAACTGTATACGGAAAATATCAATTATCGCTTATAGAAAATTTTTTTATAACATTATTACACATAAGTAGTGAATATTAAAATAAATTTTCATAAAGATAATATAATCAGTTGCAATATTTAAATATTTAAAATGAAATATTTGTATTTAAAACAATTAGATATTTTTTAAAATATTTAAGTGACAAATTATGTTATTATAGAAATTTGTAAAATAGAGATAAAAATTGAAGAAATTATTAAATTTATAGCATTTATTAATATTATCAAATAAAAACGCATTTTATATAATTTGTGCATTTTTTTTTATTAATATTATATTTTAAATATTACATTAGAAATGTAAATACTAAATGATTTTTTAAATATTTTGCATGATATATTGCGTAATATAATTTTTTAAAGACATTGGTAAAAAAATTAATAATATAAATTTAAAATAATAAAATAAATTGTACTTGAACATACGCTCGCGTATTATATTAAAAAATATTTATATGCAATTTAAGTACATTAGGATATGTATTTTTGAGAATACTGTAATAAAGCAATGTTAAAAAAAATTCAAATTTTTCTATATAAAAAATAAAATAGATCATATTTATGATACGTTTATGTCTTTAGTATTGAAAAAAGTTTTGAATTACTTTTTATTACATTGCAATTTTATCACTAATAAAATATATGTATTTATTTATTTACAATTGAAATCATGTCATTGCACTATTATAAATATACAGTCTATTACAAATATACAGAAAAAATCAAATTTGGTAATGTGGCAGTTATATGACTGATAAAAAAATATTTTATTTGTTTATATCTAATTTTGTATTAAGAGTTTTTCGAAAAGAAAAATTAGCGTTACGTAGTGATATTTTTGTTTTTATTCAACTGTGGTGAAATTTGCGTTCCTTTTGAACTGCAATTTCGACTATTGATAATCTCATCTATACTTTGTTTTAATTCTTCCATTTCTAAAATGTCCAATGGTAAAGATGTTTGTGTTGCTATTTCTCGAGCATTACCAGTCTGACCTTCAGATTGCATTAGTCTTGTTAATTCAGGACAGCATGAAGTTAGACTAGATGCTAGATTACCTATTCCAGCTTTCCTGTATACTTCTTTTATTTCTGCATCACTTTTCAATTTAATATCACTAGATTCCTGAAACAAATGTTTCAAGATGGTTTCATCTTGAAGCAGATATTTACTTTTACGGCCTTCTCTGCTCCGTCTATCACTTTCGTGACTATAACTTTTTGAACTTTTGTTACTAATTTTGCTCTTGCTACGTTCATGGGGTTCTTCAGGATCTAACATCTTTGCTTCTTCTTCCGGTTGACTATCATCACTATCACTATCTTGATCATCCTTCTCCATATTTCCACCTTCAACATCTACATCTTTTCTTGGCATTCCTTGATGTTGTTTCTCCTCACTACTTAAATTTTCATCACTACCACTTTGTCCTGGAAACAAAAACGGAAGCAACATCCCTGGATTTTTTCCATCAAACAGTTTAGAATTCAAAGCACGTTCATCTAAACCGGCACTAGCCGATCGTCTCTTCATATTAGGTACTTGAATAGGTGGTATTCTTGAATTACCACCTATAGTTAATGCTGACAATATCTGTGCACCAAGTTGACTTTCTTGTGACGTTGTACTGCCTCTTCTAAACAATGGACCTACTTTACTTGATCTTGATTTTCCAAAGTCTCGTCGCCGTTTTCCACGTCGACCGCGTGAACTGCTAGCAACTTTCCGCGTTGTCTTCAATTCAGCTATTTGAACTGATATTTGAGAGTCTAAAGAATTTCTCCTGGATTCTACAGATACTCGACGCACGCTGAAGCTAATTTCAGAATCTACAGAATTTCTTCTATTACTGGATACAGATCCCGTTGTACCACCAACGAGTGCACCTCTACGAGTAACTAACTTTGGTAAAGCAGCTGCCCATGTTGAACTGAAATCTTGAGAAGCTACAGAATTTAAATCGAAGTTTAAGCCAACTGGATCTTCGTGAGTATTGTGAAAACTAATAGATAATCGACCAGCATTATTAAATGTTTTCCGTTTTGCAAATGCTTGAGCGATTACTTTATGTTTTTTTAGTCTAATAGGTTCTTCAGTTTCACAATTAAATGTTCTAAAATATAAAAAATTATCGTATTATTTATTAAATATAAATTAATAAAAATGAAAAGATATTTAAAATTTTACCGTCTAAGAAATCTAGTCCAAGTATCTACTGTTGAACCAGTCCATACCCATGAAGACATAAGAATACCAGCAAAGAAGGGTGATAGTAAATGTAACTGCATTTTAGCTGCACTTGGTCGGACTTCCATTTTACATTCAGAGATATCCAAATATTTTGTAGTTATTGCACATCTATGAATAAAATATAAAATTTTAGATATGATATATTTACATATTTTTTTTTTTATGTATTCTTTTTCTTACATCATATAATTTCTAAAACTTTGATGCCATTCTGAAGAATGTTGAAATTCATAAATATGACAATAAAAAGTCACCACAACTGCAGCAAATGTAAAAATTGAAAACAATCCCATACGTACAATAGTTTCTCGTATTTTAGAACTTGCTCTTTCAGATATAATTTCTTGGCTACTGATTTTTAATCGAATCAAAGTAATTAATCCTAAAATTATTTATAATAATATTAAATTAAATTAAAATTTTGATTTTTTAATATTTATTTTTATTTAGAAAAAGTACTTACAAATCTTTAGGAAAGCATACAAAAAAATATATATATATTTTTATATATAAATTGCATATAATGAAAAGTTTAATTACAAACATATAAATTAAAAACATACCTCTGGATAAAAAATAGCCTCCAACCAGTAAAACAATCAACACAGGACCAAGTAAAAACCAAGCTCTGACTGCATGATTAGTGTAACCCACAAAACATATACCAGTAACACTATTTCCATCAATTTCTCCTAATCCCATGATTGTGACAGTGAGGACAAGTGGCAAACACCAAGCAATTAAATGAAAATATGAACCCTTTTTATCAATTCTATCTTGGATTTTGCCTAATGCTTGAAAGCTCATATGCCAAGCATATGTAAGAATCACAAACCAGACCATAGCTGCCATAAGGGAATAATACACAAGAACAAATACTACGACACATGATAAATTTTCTCCACTGAAAATATATTAGTACACAAAGTTTATAAGTTTATATCTAACTTGATATAATTTTAAATAAAACAATTTATTATATACAATAATTTACTATACACATTAAATCATCTACCTTGGTTCACTCATTCTTAAAGTTCCATCTTTTCTACATACAATTACTTCTCTACTTCCTGGTGTAAATTGAGCAAGCCATCCAATACAGGATACCATAAAACAACAATTGATATAAAATATTACTAAAGCTGGATATTTATTTGCACTTCTCCAATCAATTAAAAATGTTATCTAAAAATAAAATATAAATGAAATGCAATATATTATACATTACATTCTAAATCCTTTGTCTTAAATAATTATTACTTACAATTGTAAACAAATTGAATGAACCACAGATCCCTGCAGCCCAAGCAATAAAAGAATGAATTTGTTTATGTTCATCTGGCGTAAAAAGTGGATCATTACATTGTAATCCACAACCTTCAACTCCTTCAAAAATAGCAAGGGTATTATCAGTTGGGACCAAAGGCTTTAAGCATTTGCTAGAAATATTAAATTTCAATTCTCTGATATCATTTTTACATAATCTAGGAAATAAATCTGTATTTTCACATTTAACAAAACTTGGCCATATTGTATGATTAAATACAATTCTACAAGGTCCTGAAACCATTTTACACATTTCTTGTGATGGTAAATCTACTGTGTCATTGATACATTTTGGCATAAATATTGAACACAAGAGAGGTTGAACAACTGCCCAACACTTTGGCACATGTCTTAATGTTTGTAATACATGTAATTTTTCCTATAAAATAAATACATAATATTTAATATACAATGAATAATCAATCATAAAAAAGTTTTTTCAATCATAAAAAGAAAATAAAAAAAAACAGAAAATAATTTTAAATTTGAAGAACTTATTTTTTAAATTTAAAAATTAAGAATTATATTCTTACAAATTTAAAATATTTATATATATTATATTATATATATAAGTATTTTAAATAAATAAATAAATATATATATATATATATATAACAAAAAATAAAAAGTAAAAATACTTCTATAATATCTTGAGTTATATGTTCAGGTATAAGTTCCAATGTAGTAGTACTATATGGTAATCTTGTGCCCATACATGTATTCTTTTGCATCTCTACACATTTTGCATGCCTATGACAATTAAAGGAATCAGATGGTAATTCTCTTATAGGATACCTGCCCAGCAGGTAACTAGAATCCTTTATTCTATCTCTGGAACTTAGTTCTAAACTTTGTTTCCATGTTTCATTTTCGCCATTCAAATTAGTAGCAAATGCATGTGTTAGTTCTGATGATACTCGATGAAAAAATATAAAATAATAAACCAAGAAAAATGTCATCTAAAAAAAATTAATAAGATTGAAATTATAATAAAATATATATAGCAGTATTTTCTTATAAAATTTCATATCAATGCAGAATTCTCCGATATACTATTAACATGTTGTTATTAAAAAAAAAGTCACATATATTGCATCGAAATAAACAATAAAAATATTTTAAGTAAAATTATATACCTTCAGATACATCCTTAAAACTATTGTCTTCGGCGTGTGGGTTTTGCCGATAATTCGATACTCTCACCACTAGGTGTCTACTTCTATCTCGCAAATAATTCTTCCAGTCTTCGTTTCTACAAATACAATTTTAAAACTCATCTCCCATGTGTGTATAGCAAAAACCATCGACTATATCCATACTAACGGATTCCCGGGCCAGTCACTATAAGCTAATTATTTTGTGGAGACTACTATATTCAGTCTTAGAGAAGCCCGCCCTCTTCGTTTCATTCGAACAAAGCGTGTCTTGCATCTTCTTCTATGCCCTGTGACAGTTGCATCCAGCATACGAACAGTTCGGACCACACAACACGTTGCGTTCTCTGCAGGCCACCCACGACGAACTCGATGAACTTGCTCCATACCTCTTTCCGGTGTTTTGAATGCACGGCTGTATAAGAAGCTTTACAAATAACTCACCAGTGGCAGAACTATCATTGATGCGTGATGATGATCTGCGCATTCAACGCGGGAAATTTTAGAAATAATGAACAAATAGTAACAATATATAATATTATATATAATAATTTTTATTAAAATTGTTATAATTATTATGCTATTATTATTTTTTATATTTAATAGTAATTATTTAATAATAATTTTATATATTATAAATTACTTTTAGTATATAGTATAAAAATTGTACAAATTTTAAATTATATAATAAAAATATTTTGTTAAAATTAAGTTTAAATTTAGAAACGTAAAATAATATTCTTTTATAAAATTTTTTGTATATATATATATACTAATTACATCTAATTATTATTCAATAAGCTGTAAGATAAAACGCAAGTCGGTTCATTTACATAATTTACAATATAGATAACAATATATAATTTTTTTAATGAAATAAACAATGAAACTTTTATATCATTAAGTATAATAAAAATAATATAATAAAAATATAATGTACATAATAATTTTGTACATAAAATTTGATTATTTATCTGTCAATTATTTTTACTGGTGTCGACCTCTGTAACTATTTTCCTCGAACACAGATGTTATAGCATGTGAATTGTCAGAAGATAGTGGCATGTAAGATATTTTCGATGAATAGTTTATTTTTATGAATTTGATAAGTCCATATTACGATTAATATATATTCTATTTCGGTAACGACGTATTAACTCGTAAAACTTTATTGATTTTCTTTATTTGACTTTTATTCCAATGTAACAGGAAATATGATAATTGCCCCTATAGTTGATTAGCTGCTGGTGTTGATAATAACATGCTGTTAATATATGATAAGCCTGTGCCGTGTATGTCTGCATACAAGTTGGAATTAATAGCAGCCGAACGATTTTTTGGCAGTCTACGATCAGTATTTGATAATAAAATAATCCATAAAGTGACTGATGTGTCATAAAATAACCTGAAATTTTCGATTATTTCAATCTTTATTATTTACTTTAAATCATAGAGATAAGAAGGTAGGATTTTTCTTCAATTTTTTGTTAAATTAAAAATGAATAATTTTAGTGAAAAATTTAATATTTTTTATAAAATGCTTTATATTAGAATTCTTTTGCAGTTTAAAATGTTTAAAATCCTTTACTTGGAATTATATTTATTGCTTTTTGGAAATTGTATTGGTGATTATTCAGATTGGGATACAAAATGGCAAATATTATGTCCTGGTTTATATCCCAGAGCTTTTACAAGTTACACACCCCATGGAAATCTTTCTAGTGGAATATATACCATGCAACCTCATTTAAGTAGTATGAAACACTGTGTGGCAACATGTTGTACCAAAACCACATGTAATGTGGCTCTTATGCATAATGGTACTTGTTACCATGTGCAATGTGAAAGTTCCAAAATATGTATGCCTTTATATAGAAAAGATTTGGCAAATGAAAATCCTCCAAGTATGATTCTAGTTAAACCTGTGGAAGAAGATGAGATGTGGAGTGATTTATTAGATCAGATGAATGATGATACTGGGTGAGATTTCATATAGAATTTTTTATCATTATTTTATTTCATTAATATTTATTTTAATACTTGTAGAGGGTTTCTTATGGATGGTACAGAAGGAGATCATATTCTTTTTGGTGGATCAAGTTGTATTACTCAAACGAATTGTTTAGAACATGAAATTTGTGTGAAATCTGAAGATAAATCTGATATTGGAATTTGTCAATGTTCTACTGGATTTAAACGTAACATGGCAGGTAATTATATTATCATTTATTAAATATTTTGAAAATTTTTTAATTTATACGATGATAAATTATAATAGGAATTTGCACTTTGATGGAAGACATAGAACTTGGTGTAACACCACAAATGAAAACACAAAATATAAAAGATTCAAGTACATCTGTAAAACCACCAATAAAAAGATTATTAGTCTCTGTTGTTTCAAAAGAAGTACGCTTACCAGAAAATGAAGTAACATTATCTGCCTATACTGTACCAGCAGAACAAAAAAATGAACATTATAATTATGCTTGGAGTCTTTTAAGTCAACCAGATGGTCATACTGGTATAATGACTAATCAAAATCGCATGACTGTAAAATTAAGTAACTTATCTGAGGGTTTATATACTTTTAAAGTAACAGTAAATGGTCCAAATGCCTATGGTGAGGCATATGCAAATGTTAGTGTTTTGCCACGTAAGTTCTTTTATTATATTTATATTTTTTTAAAATTTATAATTATTATAATTTCATAATTTGGTATTATTTATAGCTAAAAGAATAAATCAACCCCCTATTGCAATAATTTCACCTGCTTCGCAAGTTGTAAAATTACCAAATACGGGGGCTGTGTTAGACGGTTCGTCAAGTAAAGACGATGATCGTATTACTTCTTACCGTTGGGAATTACAACAAGGTCCTATTGGATATCATCCTAATCTAGTTGATACACCTACTTTACAATTAGATAATCTTATCCCTGGCAATTATACTTTTAAGTTAGTTATTGAGATTATTTTATTGTCTATTTTTAAAAATATTAAAAAGACAATATTAATCTTAAATTTTTTTTCAGATTAACAGTTGAAGATTCCAATCATATTACTAATTCTACGAGTGCTAATATAACAGTTTTAAAAGTAACTGATTATCCTCCTAGTGCAAATGCAGGCCAAGATATTATCATATATTTACCTCAAAATACATTAACGCTTAATGGTAATTTAAGTACAGATGATCATGGAATAGCAAATTGGGAATGGACAAAAAGTCCTTCAGATCAAAACAAAGCAGTAGATATGCAAAATACGAGAACGCCGTATTTACAATTATCTAATTTGGAAGAGGGAATGTATACATTTGTGTTAAAAGTAACAGATGATTCAGAACAATCTTCGATAGCCGAGATTCATGTATTTGTAAAACCACCAACTAATAAACCACCAAAAGGTAATTAAAGGATTTTTATTATTTTCATTTTTTAATGAAAAAATTAATTTTATATTATGTAATTTTAAATAGCTGATGCTGGCGAAGATATAACTATAGCGTTACCCGAAACAAAAACTGTACTTGATGGTCGTAAAAGTAAAGATGATATTAAGATTGTATCATATCATTGGGAACAAATGAGGTAAATTTAAGTTTATATGTATTAATTTATATATTAGTTATTATATATATATATAATATTATATATTAATTATATATATATATATATATAGTTATTATATATTATATATTATATGTTTATTAATTTATTTAATTATTATTTATTTAATTACTAATTATTATTAATTATTATTATTTAATTATCTAATAATGCATTAATGATATTAAATTTTATTGAACAGTGGGCCAAATAAAGCTGAATTCTCAGCAATGAATGAATCAGTTACGAATATAACAAAATTAACAAAGGGTGATTACGAATTTAAGTTAACTGTAATTGACGATAATGGAAATAAAGATTCAGATGCTGTCAAAGTAAAAGTTACACAAAGTATGAATAGAATTTTATCCTATATTTTATAAATTAAATATTTATAATTATTTAATTAATAAAAAATTAATTTTATTGTATAGATAAAAATGCTCCTCCAAAAGCAAATGCAGGTGGGGATCAAGTTGTTGTAGCACCTATTAGTGCATTAATTATTAATGGATCTCGATCAATTGACGATTTAAGAATTAGTGAATGGACATGGACAAGAGATCCATCTAGTCTTGCTATAGGTACTATAGTTCAAAATACTGACAAATCGCCAATTTTAATGGTAATATTTAATAATAATATTTAATATACGTAAATATAAAAATTATAAATATTCATAAAGAGTATATTTAAATTTCATTTTTAGCTGACTGATATTGTGCCAGGTAGATATGTTTTCAGACTAAAAGTAATGGATGATCAAGGTCTTAATAGTGAGGATACTGTATCTGTGATAGTAAAACCAGGTAAATGACTTAAGAAAAAAATAAAATAAAAAAAAATATATTTTAATAAAAATTTATTATTATATATATATTTTTTATAGATCCTCAATTATTGCATTTAGTTGAATTAACGTTGAATATTGGAGCAAATATGTTAACAGTATCGCAAAAAAATTCATTGGTATTAAAATTGCAAATGTTATTACGAGATGAAGCATCAATTATTGTTCGAAATTTAAGAGCAGAACCACATACTGGTAGAGCTGTTTTAATTTTTTATGTTGAAAAAAAAGGAAAAGTTACTATGCATGGACCAGAAGTAGTTAAACGATTAAAAGAAAAATTAAGACAAGATTCAGGTCTTCTTCAATTATCTGTGGCAAATATTGATACTGCTGTATGTCAAAATAATTGTTCAGGTAATGTTTTATATTATATGTTATATTATAAATAATTTGTATATAAAATTTATTCTTAATAAATAGGTCATGGAGTATGTGATCAAGAAACAAGATTATGTATGTGTGAAGCATTTTGGATGCAAAATTTAATACAGAAATATTTTGGTAATGGTGACTCTAATTGTGGTATGTTAAAATAAATACAATTTTGATATAAAAATATCAGTTGATACAAAATAAGCTAATTTAGAATCATATATTTTTTTCAGATTGGAGTATTCTTTACGTAATAATAGCATTACTGTCTCTAGTCGTGTGTTGGGTTGGTCTTATTTGGGGTCTTGTTTGTCTGTGTCAAAGAATATGTATAGGTAAACGTCGTTCACTTCGTACTAAGAAAAAACCACCACGATATTCTCTTTTACAACCAGAACCAGAAGACGAAAGCAACACATGTATGATATCTTTTTTTTAATTAAATTTCAAAATAATGTTAATTAATAGAACTTTATGATTACTTTTTGTTATTATTTTTTTTTAGTTTCAACTCACAAAATGGTATTATCTGAATCAGATACGGATTCTGATGATGTCTTATTCGAACACCGCAAAGCGAAAAATAGCAGTCAAGTAAGAAATGGTAAATCTCGAAATGGCTTTATTAAAGTGGGTTCTAGAGTGAAAACATGAGGTAACAGCTACACTTGTTAGTGTTGAAATCAATCATTCTTTAAGTAAATTGTAATTTAATTATACATTTCAGGAATATATAAAATATAAAATCTCGTTAAACGACGCACATTCATATATGTTTGGCCAAAAAGAAAAACGAAAAAAAGCATAAAAAATACTAGTCAGTTACAGGGCTGTAATTTTAAGTATGTACTTAACAAGAAAAATATGATTTCTCAAACAGAAGTTGCCACTTGTAAAAAGAATTTAGACGTACTTAAGTATTGATTAGAGAAATAAGAAAACACATGTTCACTTCATTGCGTCTTGTTTGATTTATTTGAAATAATATTTATTAATATCATGCATTTGTATTTGAAACTTATTATATATAATTATATATATACTGCTCGTATACATGCGAGCGGTACTATAGCACAATGATCAAATTTGATTTGATTACGGCCTTAGAAAATAATTGGAATTAATATTTATATAAAATAATCATTTCTTGTGTCCATATATCCCTTGTATGTAATATTTGCTCTTTAATATATATATCATCGATCTTATTTTTACACTGCATATGAATAAATAATAAAATTTATTGTCTATATAGTTAAAGTAGTAATTAATTTCATTTTTTTTTAATTAAAATTGTATTTAAATATTTTTTAGTAATTATTTTTTATTTTTACATTTTATATCTCATTATAATTATAAGTATATATAATTTAAGTAACAAGAAATAATTTTAAGTTTAATATAAAGCTATGATTTAGTTTTGTTTGCACTTGCTTAATATTATTTTTAACTCGTTACGCTATAACAAGCGCAAAGTAGTGCAAAAGATACTACGAATTTATTCGTAAGTTTTTACTTGCATTTTTATTAAATAATCTATTGAAAATGTAATTTTATTAATTAATAAATTAGCTTAATAATTTAATGATGTTTATGGACTTCGTTAAATATAAATCTATAAAGAGTTGTTGCAGCAAAAAGTCGTCAATGAATGGCGATAATGAAAATAATGATTTTTATAATAAAAATTACATGTTTCTTGAGCAAACAAATAATTTTCAAACTACTAATTCCATTATTAATGTAAAATCATTATATTCTGTTAAAAATAAATGGTAAATTTTATTTTTGATATTATTTAAAAAATTAATAAATTGATAAAAAATATTTATAATTATTTATAAGAATTTATAATTTTTTATAAGAAAAGCTAATTTTAATTTAGCTTAATTTTGTTTATTTAGTTATGATAATTATTCAAAGTTGCATTTATCATGGACAAATAAAACAAATTCTATACATCAATTTTTTAAATTACCTTATGATATGAAGATTCAAATAAATGATCAAGATATACAAGATAAAACTTTTTCTTTCTTGGAGGAAAATAAAGATTTTCAATGTCCTAGATGTAATCAAAATATGCAGGAACCTAGATTACTTCTTTGCTTGCATCCTATATGTTCATTATGTGTTTCAGAGTTAATGAATATATGTAAGTGATTTAAAATTAGAATTTTAATTTAATTTCTTAAAAATATAATTGATCTTATAATATATTTTTTTATATTTATAGCATTTCCTAAATTTTCAAAAGATATTACAATCCAAAATTTTCAATTGGAAACTAGTGAAAGTAATTATTATGAAACTTGTCCTTTATGTGATTTTCAATTATCAAATGCTAATTCGATAATTCCACCTTCACATTATATCCTTCAACATCGTTTAATAATGAATGCTATCCATTCTAAATTTGCAAATAAAATACTTTGTGATATTTGCAAAGATGAAATTGTAAGCATTAATTAATAAACAAAATAAGCATCATTTAAAAAAAGTTTAAATATTTTATAAATATATTATTTTTAATATAATTTTTTTTAAGGCAATGGTTCAGTGTTCCACATGTCTTCACAATTTTTGTTTAGATTGTGGTATAGAACATCAACAACAAATTACAATGGAATTAAAACCACTAAAACATTCATTAAGACCATTATGGGAAGCTACAAAAGTACGACGTACTGTACTTTGTCAGGAACATCCTACACATGCCTTACATTTTTATTGTATTGCATGTCAACAGGTTTATAATTTGCTCTTTTAGTTAATATTTTTCTATTTAATGAATATCATTTTTTAAGTATATTTTTCAGGTATCCTATGAAGAATACATATGGAGCATTCAACACAGAGGTCATGCAAGTGAAAATGCTATTGAAGCTGCAAAACAAGTTATTTGATATTTAACAAAAATGCTTCAAAAAGCAAAAATACTTTTAAATATGCTCTTAATCCAATATGATCAAGATGCATTTTTAAATACTTCTGAAGAAATAAATAATATTTTCATTTCAATGAATTATAGGTATATCAAATATAATAATTTTTTTCTAATTATTTATTAGATAAAATAATATATTAAAAAATATACATAATATACAAATATTATAAATATTTTAAAATTAAATGTATATTATCATAATAAGAAAATTTTAAACATGTATATAGTTTGTAATATAAATTGTAATAGTAATAAATTGTCATGTGATGATTATAAAAAAACTAAAAAATTTAATCAAAAATATTTTGAAACTGTCATTTGAGGTACAATTTACTATAATACTGTAAAATATTATATTATATTATAAATTTACTATAAGATAATAATTTATATTATATTTATATATTATATGTAAATACTTATTCATAAAAATAATAAAATATACTCATTAAAATATAAAATAAAATAATATATATTTATATATATATATTTATATTTATTTTTAAATTAATAACATTAAAATAACAATTGATATTTCTGAAAACTTAAACAACATCCATAACGAAAGATTAATCCACAGCAAGATCAATGGTGTATACCAGGATGTCCAATGTGACCATGTCCACAGCCTCTATATCCACCTTTAATTAAATTATATTTTATATTATAATAGATAATAGCATATAATAAAATTATTCAAAGAATATATGTTATATAGGCATAATTCCTCCACATCCGCAAGTAACTTCTTTCTTACCACCACTTGAACAAAATGTACAACGATAGATATCAATATGAGATCTAAATATGTTCCTTATATCTTCACAGGAATTTTCTGCAAAGTTATTTTTACTCAAAAAAGAAAAATAAATAATATCTTTATGATTGAATGAATATTTACCTAATACATTATTACAAACTCCTAAAGTTTTTAATCTTTTTATTATTATGTTAGCAAGACTCAATATTTCTATATCTGAACCATCTGCAAGTAATTCATTTGTAAAAGAAATATCATGAAGAAGTTGTCTTGCTCTTTTTAATCTATTAAATTCTTGAATTCTTTTATATGCTTCTCTAGTATGTGATATTGTTGTATTGCAATTCTTTAATTTTGTTTCATCATTGAAGGTTTTATCGAAACATCTAATTAGATTAAATAATTATCAATACTTGTAGGTTAAGTTATGTTATATAGTTATATTATATAGTATTTTCTAATATAAATAATGATATTATATAAATCTATATTATAAAAATAATATTTGTCATGTGATGAGTGTTTAATAAAATTCTTTATTTACATAAAATAATATATTATTTATAGAATAATATATATTATTTGTACTGTCATTTGAAGTTCAAATATATTATATTTATATTAATATATATATTTCAATAAAATATATTTTCATGAGTTTCAAAGTTACTTTCTTACACATAATTATATACACGATTACAATTATATTCTATTATAATTTTATAATTAATACCGTCGTTTTTCACAATTATTAATTTGAATTCCTGTAACATTTTAAAATATATAATATATAATATTTAATATATCAGAAGATATTAAAATAAATCCATATTTTATGAAACAAAAATATATTTTATATGCAATATAATCTTTGAATGTTAGGTTAAAACAATACTTTTCTCAAAATATGTTTGAAACATAATTATTTTAAATAAAATATTCATTACTTCCATCTATAGGAATTATTTTATAATTTATAATTTATATTCATATATATTCAAAAATATAAATTGTTTTTCACGAAAAAATTATACGAACATATACTCTTCAACTACCACTTAAAACAACAAAATTATATAAGTTTTTGTAATGTAAATTGTTTAATTTAAATTTATATAAAAAAATGTTAATATAAATAATTTAATATAAAATAGATTAATTATTTTTTTTTATTTCTATTAATAAAATGTAATATAAATGTAATATATTTCATTTGTAATTATACATTATATTGACGCTATAGTAGTATCATCAAATTTTTTATTTATTATTTATTTATTATATTTATTATGAATTAATATGAATTTATATTTTATATATTTATATATATATAAAATATTTTTTGTAAAATATGAATTCATAATTATAATTTTAAAATTTTTGTAACTAATCTCATATTCTTTTATGATTAAAAAATAAATGAATAATTATTTTATAAAATGTTAATTATTTTTCGTTAAATTAATATTAAGCAATATTAAATAAATTTAAGCACATAAAATATTTCGTTTTATTATTATTATTTATAATTGTTTGCAATTATAAAATAATTGATAAAATTTATAATCTATAAAATTAAACTATAAAAATACATACATATGTTATATATGTATATATGTTTAATATTAAACATATATACATATAATATTAAAAATAATATGTACTATGTTTACTAATAAGAATAATTAAGAATAATAAGGTACAAGTGTTTTTAATCCTAATATTTTGGAATATTAAGCTACTACTAATTTTTGTATTTTAAAATAAATATAATCATAAATTTAATAAAAAAAATTATTACACACTACAATTAAGTGCAACTCCTAGAAAATCTTCGAATCCAATAGTGATTACTCCTGTTTGTTCATTATCCCTTATTCGAAAAGCATCTGAAAAAAGAAGTTAAAAACAATAATATATAAATTAATATAAATAATATGTACATAAAGTTTAGTATTTAACATTTTTATTATTTTAATTTTTTTATTTATTTTTAAATATTTATTTACCTGTAAATCTCTGAATTTGAACACATAATACAATAAATTGATCTATAGTGATAGTAGAATGACCAATAGGATCACTTTTTTTTATTAAAAATGAAATGAATTTTGGACTTAATCTATATCCCATTTGAGTTAAAGCTGCACTTAATTCATTTTCTTGTATACTTCCAGAATTATCATGATCAAAACCACGAAAGACACCTAGCCATGCATTAATGTAATTATAAAGAGCTTGAAACTCAAGTAAATCTATTGTACCATTTTTTTCCTTATCAAACATTCCTATAAGAAAAAATTGTCTAATAAATTATAATGAGTTTTAAGAATATATAATATAATATACATACCTATCATAAGTCTACAAGCTGTATCTGAAAATGTACCCCCTTGTCCATTTGCTAATGCAGATTTTAATTCTATAGCTGTGATTCTTCCACTGCCATCTCTATCAACAGTACCAAACCATTGCTGTACTTCTGGACTTATTTGTGTTTCAGGATTAGTTGAACCATACATTGTATTCTAAAAATTGATAATATTCACTTTAAAATAATAAAACATGAATTTTTTATTTATTCATAGAATATGTTTCAATATATAAAATATATTAATTGAAATATAATTACTGGATATGCCATGACTAGTGTTTACTAATTGTTAAACAGTATTATTTGTAAGATGCATTTAATATTGTAATATCATACTATAGGACTACACAATTACAGTATAAAGCATAGATATATACATATATGTATGATCTATTATACATGTTACATAGATAACTAGTCATTCATACGATTCGAATAATACTTCATTAATTTTTTTATATTTAAAATAGTGTTTGTATATATATATATATATGTTTCATATAAAATAAAAAATATATTTTATTTTATAATGTTTCATTGTAATAAAATTAATAATTTTTATATTTTTATAGTTAACGCGCTAAAATGACAGTGCCATCTTACGCATTGTTTTGTATCTAATACGATCGTGTACACATATAGAGAGTAGGATATTCTCTAGTATTCGCTTTGCTTGCTTTTCTGACAGTAGTATTAGATAGGAAAAGGACGACTGTTGAACATTATTTTAATCTTTGTTAATAAGTAACTGATTTTGATCCCACGATGGACGATTTACAGAATTATAAACTGCAGCTTCAACAGGTGAGATTTTTATATTTAACCTATCACAAAGAATGGAATGACGAGTCCATTTTTGGTAATCTCTTTTTTGTTTATGACATCAAAACATGAAATAAAGTTTATATTTTATTCTATTTTATTATTTTAGGTAGAAGCTGCACTTACTACGGATCCTAGTAATGAAGAACTTCTTAAACTAAAAATTGATCTTGAAGAAGTAATAGAGTTGACACATGATTTAATTAAATCACAACAACAAGAAAAAAGGCAAGCCAATGGTATGGATGCTAAAGATCCTATTTTACTTGCAGTTTTGGCTAATAAGTGGAAGGTTGGTGATCAGTGCATGGCACCTTGGAGTGAAGATGGCAAGTAAGTTAAGTTATAATTTACATATATATTTTTGATAAATTAAAAGTTATTTATTCTTAATTACAATCAATAAATGAATGTGTTTATGATAATGACATGTATTTTTATTACATTTTTCTAGATATTATGAGGCAACCATAGATGCAATAAGTGAAGATGGTGTTGTTAATATAACTTTTAATGAATATAAAAATACAGATGTCACTATGCTTAGTCAGTTAAAGTCTGTAGCTAAAAGGCCAGCATCAGATTGGGCAGATCAAAAATCAAAGTGAGTTGACAAGCATTTATTTATTTTATTTATCAATAGTCATTATTAACATGACCCTTCCCCTGCAATTTTAAGCACATATCAGTTTTTTGGAGAACATTGCGGGATAAGTTTTATAAGAAACAATGATTACTAATTGTTCATTTTTCTCCTTATTCCTTAATTCCCAATTGGCCACGATATTCACTCCACTGTTTGGTGTGCTTCGATCTGAAATTCCATTATTGTTCATTTGTCTCTTGGTGTCGCACTGTTGTACATCGCCGGAATCCAGGAAAAGGTAACAAGAAATAATAGATTTTTGTTGAATTTCTTTTTTTATTCTTTTTATTGTACGTGATTTTTAAATAATATAATACACATTTATATTATATTTCATATTTAAATATGAATAAAATAATAGGGTATTATAATAAGAATATAATGATAAAGTTTATTAATTTATAAAATGAATAATCATAAGTAAATTTTTAATTATAATTTATATTAATAAATTTAGGGTGAAATAAAATTCCATTTCATCATTATTCTTATAAATATTATTCTTTCTGAAATAATAGCAATAGCAATCACTATTTTTATGTTTTTATGTTATTTAATAAAACTATATACTTTTATATATAATGAATTTTACAATACATAATATTAATAATATTAACAGCAATATTAATATATTAATAGAATTTATTACAGCTATATCTTTTATGTTTTATAAATTTTAAAAAAAATTTTATATGGATATATTCTGATACATTTATTTTTAGTAGTTAACTTCATGAATGATGGGCTTATTAATTTACAGAAAAATGCAAGCCGCTGCAGTAGCAGGCTCAGATCCTAATAAACAAAGGGAATATTTAAAGAAAAAGAAACAAAGAAAACTCCAACGATTTAAAGAACTTGAAGAGGAACGTGAAATGGAAAAAAATAAATGGCTAGCATTTACAAATAAGGTATTATTAATAAATATTAATAAATTATTATTAATAAATTATTATTAATAATAAAATTGAAATTTTCAATTACATTTTCAATTATATTTCTAAATTATTAATTTGTTGTATTTTTTAATATAGTCTTCAAAAAAAGGTGTAATTAAAAAAAGTATATTTGCAACGCCAGAAAATGTGAATGGTCGAGTCGGAATTGGTACTTGTGGCGTAAGCGGTCGAGAAATGACTAAATTTAGTAATGGTGAAAAATGGAGAAGAGGAGCATGAATGCTATTGTAAATATGAAATTTAATATTTCGTGAGATAGAACTATCGATTATTGTTATTATTACACTGAATTCAGTTTTGAAAAAGCTGAACATGTATGTTTTGTGTTGCAAGAATGTTTCTGAATATATGAATGAAGTGTGTTTAGCGGTATTCATAGATTGTACGTAGGTATTATCTTATGAATGAACAATGACCTCAAGTATCTGGAAGGTATTTGGATTTTCTACCTTTATGAAATGAATGATTGACGTGAATGAGTGTATTTCTAGATCAATACATTTATGTGGATATGATTTGTTTATAATCTGTAATGAATATGAATAAATGTATATTTTAAAGTCAGATAATGAAATTTTGAAATTATTTATTAAATCCTTTTATAGAACAAGATTATTTTAAAATTTCTAAATATATAAGTTACTTTTTGAATATTTGAATAATTATAAAATTATTTAATTGATAAATTTTTTGTGGTTAAATAAGTTATTTTTTATTTTGAAGTAATTAAAATGACAAATTAAATAAATATCATAATACGTTATAAATATGAACTAATTACATCCTATATTATGCTTAAGTAATTAAGTAAATATACATATAGTTTATGTCGTTAAAGAAATCAAAAATGGTCGCTCTGTTGTGGAATAACACGTCACCAGTAGGTGATATATTTGAGATGATAAGATTAATATAAGAAGTTGATAAATTGGAAAAAATGAATATATTAAAATACTATATTTTAGTGGAAACTTGTAATAACTGTTGCTTTGTTTAAAATACTAGAAACTTATTCTAACCTATTTAAGAAAAAATCATCAATAAACATTAAGTATATTTAATATTTTTTTTTTCATTATGATAATATGATTATATCATTTAAGTTATATTAGTTGTTGATTTATTTGAAAATATTAAATAGTATATATTTTCATAAATGATGATATAGAGATGAATCTTCAAGAACAATTTTTTATGTGCCTGTCAATTTTTTATTTAAGATTTTTAGAAAATTAAAATTGATTGAAAGCAAAAAGACTGATTTAATTGTTAATAAAAATTAATTAATTATTTTATAAAAATAAAATATTTATCAAGAAGATATGGAGTCAAATGAAAGAAATAAATTATCAAATGGAGATGTTATAAACAATAAAGATATCGATTGGTCTAGATATGGATTACACAATAATACAGAAAGTCAAAAAAATAATGAAACACAAAGAAATAATAGACAATATGAAGAATTTGGATCTGAAATGTATCAAACTGGAGCAAATGAATTATTTGCTCAAGAATATGTAATTAAAATTAAAGATAAGATAAAATATTAAAATAAGTAATTAAAATAAGAAAATATGTGATTTGATTTAAAACTTATATTTTTTAGAGTGCTGATCCTTGGTGGAAATCAAATTTTTTTATTTCTCAGCCTGTATTATTTGGAACATGGGATGGAGTTTTTACATCTTGTTTAATTAACATTTTTGGAGTTATTGTCTTTTTAAGATCAGGATGGATAGTAGGTCAAGCTGGTTCTTTCAATGCTGTATTAATAATTTTATGTACAGGTAATAACAATAGTTTCTATATGTCAATGATAGTTAATTTTAAATATTTGAAAAAATTTGATGATTTATTTTAGTATGCATTGCATTGGTAACAGTATTATCTGCTGTGGGAATATGTGAAAGATGCCGTGTAGAAAGTGGTGGAGTTTATTTTTTATTATCACATGTGTTAGGATCAAGATTTGGTGGATCTATTGGATTACTATATTGTTTTGGACAAGTATGTGAAATAATTATTATATAATAATAATAATAATAATAATAATAACAATAATAATAATAATAAAAGTAATAATAATTTTAGAATATTACTTAAAAATTTTTTTTAGGCAGTGGGTTGTGCTCTAAATGTCCTAGGATTTGGAGAATCTATGGCTGGTCTTGTGGGTTTAGAGTCTGCATGGGCAGAACGAGGTTTTGCTTGTGCTGCTGTTATTTTATTATCTATTATTAATATTGCTGGTGTCAAATGGGTCATAAAACTTCAATTTATTTTATTATTAATTTTATTGCTTGCTGGTGTAGATTTTATGGTTGGAAGTTTTACTCACATAAATGTTGGTAAGATAAGATAATCTGTTAAACTTATATATTATATATATTTCTATTATTATTTTGGATATATATATATAATCCTATACAAATTATAGAAGCTGGTTTTGAAGGTTGGTTATCAGGAAATTTAAAAAATAATACTTTTACCAACTATCAGGATGGATATAGTTGGTTTACAGTTTTTGGCGTATTTTTTCCTACAGTAACCGGTGTTTTAGCTGGTATTAATATGAGTGGAGATTTAAAACATCCATCTACTGATATTCCTAATGGCACATTGGCAGCTGTGGGAACTGGGTAAAAAATAATAGTTTGAAAATATTTATATTACATTCATCATTAAAAAATTAATTATAATTCTGTAATTTAATTTCAGAACATTTTTATATTTATGTTTTTCAATATTTCTCGCGGCAACTTGTACTCGAAAGGCACTACTTACAAATTTTATGATTGCATCAACAGTATCAGCAATTTCAGTATTGCTACTAGCAGGTCTTTATGTTTCATCATTTAGCAGCTGTTTGGGTGCAATGTATGGTACACCTCGAGTTCTTCAATCTATTGCTAGTCAAAATGTTTTACCAGGAATTAGTTGTTTGCAAAGAGGAGTAAGTGTAACAAGAAAACTTTTATTATTTAGATTATTTATGATTATGATACTAAAATAATTTTGATAAATTTTAGAAAGGACCAAATAAGGTACCTGTATATGCAATGTTAGTTGTTGCTGTTGTTACATTGACTTTTATTATTACTGGTCAAATTAACACACTTGCACCAATTGTTACTATGCCTTTTCTTTTAACTTACGCGTGCTTGGATTATGCATATTTTGCTCTTGCACAAACATTCGATATACAATTGTCTAGAGAACAAAGATTTCGAACACAATCTCCAACATTTGATCGTGATTATGGTTCTGCAAGTAGAAATAATTCGATAACGGACACAGATAACGATTTAGATAATTTATTCCCCGAACGAATAAGACATAAAAATCTAATCGTAAGTATAGATAATTGTTTCATTTATTATTGATGAGAAAATTAGTATTTTATTCATTATTTTATTTTATTCATTATTTTAAACAGTATTTTATTCATTATTTTCAGAGAAATCCTAGTCTTTCTGAAAATAATGTTTATATAGATTCTTCACCAAGTGTCGATGAAAATGGTAGTGGAACTGATACTTCAGAACGAAAAATTCATATCCATAATAAATTAGGAAATTGGTATAGTCCTTTATGTAATAGATGGTTTTCATTATTAGGTGTAAGTCTTTTTTTATTATTATTAAATTAATGATATTTTTTAATATAATTGTGTAATAATATAATTGTGTAAATTTAATGTGGATTTATTTTATAGTGTCTTATAAAATTACTTATTATGTTTCTTGTTCATTGGAGCTATGCTATTGCTAATATTGTTGTCGTTTTTCTCGTTTGGAGTTACATTGGCCATGCTAATCCTGCAGTTAAACCAGGTGTTTCATCTGAATTTAAATTATTTAAGTGGTTGAAAATGTTATTGTTAAGGATTATGGGGTAATTTTTATTATTGTTACAATTTTTTTTCTTGATGTATATAATGTATATTGATTTTAATGAAATGTTATTTATAAATTTTAGAAGAAAAGTTTATGATTATGAACAAATTGTCGTTACACCCGTGCATCCTGGTGTTGAAACTTGTTCAGCTCAATTAAATGAAGAAAACGAAGATTTTGCTGGAAGGAGAAGATATCATCAAACAGCTACTGTGACGGGACAATGTGTCAGTATTGATTGAATATTTGCAGGATAACTAGGCAAAATTTCAAATGGAAATCAGATATAAATTATTTGAACAGAAGGAATTGTATAGGAATCATATTATAAAATATATTTTAAAATAGAATGAAATAAGAAGAAGAGCATTGTAATTTACAATATTATTGACCGCACAAAACTAGTCTAGTTAAGAACATTTCATATCTTAGGTAAAAAAAATTTTTTATAAAATACCATCACAACCTGATAGCCTTAACAGTAATGATAATTAAATAAAAAGAAAAAAGAAATATGCTATGTCACGAGAATAATAAATGAACAAAGTCACATGACTTTTTGTACTAGTTTAGTAAATTATATTAGACAATTGAAATGCCATACTGCCAGAAGCATTTCTAAAATGGAGGGTCCATTTCTAAAATTATATATTCAGTGAATTATTTTAAGAAATATTTCTTATGATGTGAGATTATTTATTCTTTATAGATTTTATAATTTGTAGTTAAACATAATATTCTATGTATCATTGAAGATATCGAAAGATAATGTTGGATATCAAACTATTTATAATATATAATCTGTAAATATGTAGTAATAACATATTTATATGCTATTTAACATTTTTATAAGTATCGTCAAAGATGAATATGTTAACAAATATATATATATAAAACAGCTAAAATTTGAATTTTTATTTTATTTCTTACCTTTTTTTTCTTTCTTATATATCTTTAAAAAATTATATAAATTAAATTAATTTATATAATTATATAAATTATTATATAAATCTTTAAAAAATTTATTAAAAAAAAAATTTATGTCAAAAATCACTTTTTTATTATATTTTTTGAAACTTACTACTCTAATCAATTTTATATATACATTTATATATTTGGCGGGTTTTTATATTTTATAAATTATATTACATTTATAAATCTTTTAAAATTGTTTTATTATATACAAAAATATCAATATTTTTATTTAATAATGCACTAAATAGAATAATATTTATTAAAAAAATAAAAGTTTTAACTATATATTATATATACGTATCAAGTTTTAATTAAAATACATTTCCGGTTTACTTTCCAGCAAGTGTATTGACGTACGTAGTGCTTAGTGAATAGAATCATTTGGAAGTTCGAATAGTGCATGAGATTATCTTTTTATATAAATTATTCGTGTAATTTTATTTTTATAGTGTAAATATACATTTTACGTTGTTACTTGTATATTTTTTAAATAGTAATAAATCATTAGATATATTAAGTAATAATTATTATCATTTATTTATTCGTGATTTATAATTTGATAAAGTAGTACGTTAAGTGGGAAAATTTTTTAAGTGCCTTGTCAATACTTCATTTTTACAAAATCAGGTAAAATTTTTAAAATTGAATTTTTTATTTCTAATAATAAGAAATTATGTATGTATCAAAATATTTCTTTGTT